GCTTTGTGTTTTAGGGTTCAGGGGTGTGGGTGGGGTTCAGGGTCTGCTGCCACCCGACGTTCACTGTCAGAGACATTGGGGTTTAGCTTTAGGGTGTGTGCGCTTTTAATGCGCAGGCCGACTAATCAGCTGCAGCACGCTTACCCTAAGGGTCCAAGTACCCAAATAGTATATTCTTTGGCCCTAAAGTAGTCCCTATTTGGGTACTTTGCGGCCTACTACTTGGGTACATGGAGCCTTAGGGTTACAACATAAAGTCTCACTTGGGTTTTCCCTAACCCCCCAGTTACCTACTATATAGGGTACTAGAGCCCCTAAGGCCCTATATAGTATAGGTACCTAAGGGGTTGGGTTTTTGTGGTAGCTGGGTTGTTACTGAATTTTGAATTTTGAAGTTTACAGTTTTGGGAGGGCTGTTGGGGGTGCGGTGGTTCTTACTTGCTGGTGGGGTTGTATAACAAGGGGGGTTCTTGTGTATTAGTCTAGGATGCCCCTCGTGTGGTTTTTATACAACCCCAGATGGTGGTTTTAGCTGCTTCTAGAGCTTTCAGGTCTTTTGCAGGGCTCTCTCAGGGGTTTAGGACTTCGGATTTGGGACATCGAGTCGAGTCCTTGACGCAAGATTCCGAGATGTATGGCTCGTCAAGCCGCTTACCTGTGTGCATACAAGGGCTACCCTGTCTCTACAAACACACACATATAGAGAGAGGGAGAGAGAGAGAGAGAGAGCGAGAATGATTGGTGCCACGGTCTGTATCTGTATTTAATTGGTTTGGAGTGTTGAGGCTAAAACTCAACAGCAAGCTAAGTACACAGGCGGGCCCTTAAGACAGGTCCCGGCCAAGGCACCGAAGCCCCCGAGGCTCAACAAATACCAAAGCCCTAAACCCTAAACCCTAAACCCTAAACCCTAAACCCTAAACCCTAAACCCTAAACCAACTGTAATTCGGGAAGCTGAACCCAAAAGCCTGGCAGTTTAGACCCTATAAGCCTTAAATCCTAAACCCCCAAACCCTAAACTCAAACCTTAAATCCTAAACCTAAACCCAAACTAAATCCTAAACCCCCAAACCCTGAACCCAAACCCCCAAACCCCAAACCCAGGAAGCAACACACGAGCAGCCCTTGGCTCAGGTCGCCCAAGCAGCCGCGCAACTTCTGCCGAAGAGGATTTCCCCCACAGGGTCCGCGTACCCCTTTACTTGGAGGGTCGTGGGACTTAGTAAGTAAGGTTATAAGTCCCCTAATTGGGGTTAAAAGTATAGTTACCTTAGTTATAACCCTACTTACTAAGTCCCATGATCCTTTAAGTAAGGGATCTTTTTGAGGTTTGGTTTTCAAGTTTAGGGCTTAGGGCATTGGGTTAGGGTTGAGGCTCATGTAAGCGTATTGCAAGGGTTTGAGAAGGATCGAAAAGGGTTTGTTGTTTAAGGATCAGTATACCCAAATAGCATATGCTTTGGTCATAAGCTGGTTCCTATGTAGGTACTGCGGGGCCACAGTGCCTAAATATATGCTGATTTCCAGAGGGTCCATGTATTACCACCATTAAGTGTTATTGTAAAGGGTTCCTGTCAGGGTTCCCATAAGGTTTTCGGTTCAGGGTGTATCATATCGCCAAGATGGTCCATATACATATACATATACATATACATACATATATATGTTTATATGTATATACAGACACATATTACCAGTTTGGAATTCGGTCCCACAAGACAGATGGCAGTATATAGGGCAATAAGGACCTTCTGGGATTCTGGATTTCTAGGGCTTAGGTGCATGCGGTGCAGATCCATGCTAGCTCGTGCTACGTCCACTCCGCTGCTAAGCTTCCTAACGAAGTTATTCATCGCAATCAACTTCGGCAAGCCATATCACCATGCTAAACTGCCAAACCCTAAACCCAGAATCCTACACCCTAAACCCTAAAATCAAAGCCGTAGACCTCAAACCCCCTTTCTCACAATAGAGAATTAGGGACCCAAAAGGACAGAAGCATGAGCATTTTGCAGGATGTCCCTACCTTAATGGGCTTCATTGTAAGGGGGTTTATGTGGGATATCCCCAAAGATGTCCAGAAAATTGTTGCTCAAGCAGACGTTTTGAACTTTGGCTGTCGGATTCAGATTCAGGGCCACTTGGAGGATCAGGGGACTTAGTAAGTCAGGGATTAGGGTTTAGGGTTTAGGGTTTAGGGTTTGGGGTTTAGGGTTTAGGGTTTAGGGTTTGGGGTTTAGGGTTTAGGGTTTAGGGGATCATGGGACTTGGTAAGTAAGGTTATAAGTCCCTTAAGTGGGGTTATAAGTAAACATATAAGCACAGCTACCTTAATTATAACCCTACTTACAAAGTCCCATGATCCTTTAAGCAGCCTCAGGACACATCTTACAGCCATTGCAGCCGCGTCCGCTGCCATCGGCGCGGCCGGGCGCACGACGACTTTCACTGGTGCGGCGGGCTCTACCTAGTTTTACAAACCGTAATCCTATTATAATCTCGGAAGTTGATTATTCATAGGGATCTCTAGAATTAGGTTTTTTGCATACTTGTTCAGGGGAGTAGTGCAATTTAGTAGACGTTTTGGTCCAGCATTATATCTGTCACGGGTACTTCTATACTCTTTACTTTTCGGGTCGTCATCCTAGAGTCTTAGTCCTTTCAGCACCTTCAACAAGAGTCGACATACCCACTGCTTATAAGGACGAGATAGGGAGATTCTGGTATTCCGAAGCCCTAAACCCTGAACCCGGTATTCCCGAACCTCCCTACCCAGTGATTTGGCGTCGCATTCCCCGAGCGCAGTCTTCATCCTCAGGTGTCCTTACAGCATATACTTTGGCTACTTAGGCTGCAAAAGGGGCTCCTTTACAGGTACTTGGCATCAAAATAGGCCAAAAGCCTTTTGTAGTAGGGTCTTTGGGACCACAAGCCTTAAACTATGAGTCCTTTGAGGGTAAGGGTTAGTATATACTATATAGGTACATGGAGCTTCAGGGTAAGCGGACAGTCGGGGTTGCTGTGGTTTAGTGCTGTTGGTACTCTTGACAGACTCGTGGGTGTTTGTTTCCTGGTGGTACTTGGAGGATCGTGGGACTTAGTAAGTAAGGTTATAAGACCCTTCGTTGGGGTTATAAGGAAATAGAAGTATGGTTACCTTAGTTATAACCCGACTTACTAAGTCCCATGATCCTTTAAGTACTCTTGCAGTAACTCAGATGCAGCAAACTTACCCTGAGGGTCCATGTACCCAAATGGTATATACATAGGCCTTAAAGTAGTCCCTTTTTAGGTACTTTGGGGCCAAAGTATATACTATTTGGGTACATGGACCCTTAGGGTTAGGGTACAGGATGCGGCAGGAGCCGAGGACAATACTTGATTGGCACAAGACCTCTGACTCAAGGCCAGTGAACCCAAGAAATGGCAGCACAGGTGTGGGAATCCCGGTTGAGGTTTAGGGTTTAGGGTTTAGGGTTTAGCAGGCACAGTCGTGGGAATCCCGGTTGAGGTTGCATAATTACTGGACACGACATTGGCCGAGCATTCTATTGGCTTGACTGATGTAAGTAACGAAGAGGGCCGATGCGGCACAGTCACGAAGCCAGATCAAACGAAGCATGCGAGCCGCGATGCACACCTGCAATCAGAGCATCCGAATCCAGGACGAAAGCGTCACAGCCCAGGGAACCAATCAAAAGGCTGGGGATGAGTTGAAGCTAGGAGGAAGCCGTCGCATCGGGGGGCTGTAGAGCGGACACGGCGCTCCCTAAACCCGAACCCTAAACCTTAAACCCTAAAGCCATAAACCTTAAACCCTAAACTCTATATAAACCTCAAGCCATATAAACCCTAAACCCTAAACCCTAAACCCTAAACCCTTGCGTCAAAGATTCCCTATCGGCCCATCATCCCGAACCCAGAACTTTCAGCTGAGAACCCAGCGCCCGAAGTCCAAATCTAAGATTAGAAGTATAAGCCCCAGGCCTTTCAGGAACCTTATGGTTTAGGGTTTAGGGTTTAGGGTTTAGGGTTTAGGGTTTAGGGTTTAGGGTACATATAGGGTCTATAGTAGGTGTATAAACATCTCAGGTCAGGGTTAAGGGCCCATACTAGGGGCCCATGGGTTCAACCTTAGACCAAAGCCCTAAGCCCGAAAGCTTAAACAGATCTCACCCTAAACCCAGAAGGCTACACTCTACAGCTAGGCCAATCGTAGGGCGGTTTTGGGCCTAGGGTTCAAGCCTTAAGCTTATAAGCCCTAAACCCTAAGCCGCCTGGTCAGGAGCTGAGACGATGAAACGAAAGGCCCCCGCTCCGTAGGGAGGGTCCTGGGACGTAGTAACTTACAGGGTTCCTTAAAAGGGATCACCCTAAACCCTAAACCCTAAACCCTAAACCCTAGACCCTAAACCCTAAACCCTAAACCTTAAACCCTAAACCCAACCCTAAACCCTAAACCCTAAACCCTTATGAAGCCCTAGTAGCG